AAGCTTGGATAAAAATATATCTTTAAGAGTCCTTATCTCTACTCTGTTATGTTGAAAACAAGAATAAGAAAAACAAGGCTGTTCATGGTGGCTCATGCCTGTAATCCCAGCACTTTGGAAGGCTGAGGCGGGCAGATCACCTGAGGTCAGTTCAAGACCAGAATGGCCAACATGGTGAAACCCTGTCTCTACTAAAAATACAAAAATTAGCCAGGCATGGTGGTGGGTGCCTATAATCCCAGCTACTTGGGAGGCTGAGGTGGGAAAATTGCTTGAACCCAGGAGGTGGAAGTTGCAGTGAGCCAAGATCATGCCATTGCACTCCAGCCTGGGTGACAGAGAAAGACTCTTTCTCTAAAAAGAAAAATAAAGAAAGTATAAGAAAAACAAAAACAGTGATAGTTAATACACATTTTAAGCTCTTACTGTTTTCCAGGGTACAGTATTTTATATGATGTTTGCAACTCTATAAGTTAGATACTATGATTCTCCTCATTTTACATATAAGAATATAGATGTACAGAGTTAAGGAGCTTGTCCAAGACAAGCAGTAAGTGAAGGAGTACTAGGATTTAATCCTAGGCAGAGTAAACTTAAAGCCCAGGCTCTTAACCACTGCTCTGTATATTATTGCTCATTCAGTTGTATGGTTGCCAGATGCGGAATATGTTATATTGTGGAACCACAATACATGTGTTGAATTGCATTGATTTGCATTTGTGCATAGAGAAGCCCCCAGGCCTTTCTTAGTACCCCCTCCACTGGGTGAGGAAGAACACTGGGGGATTACTTCATTCACCTGTCTTCATCTAAGTTGCATTTAAACCTTCTGAAATCCAGTGCCAAAAAAAGCAATCTTACAATTTACTTTATAGGTTTGTTCTTGTATTTAACAACCCTTCCTGTTGTCAGATTACAAGCTGTAGAAGGTCAGGGACCATTTCTTTTATTGTCTCATTCCTCAAGCTAAGAGAGTGGCAGGAATTCAATTGCAAATTGAATAGCATTGAGAAACCTCCCTTTCTGATACTATCATTTTCAAACTTTCTCTAGGAGGCAGCATAGTATAAAAGAAAAGATATGTCTTTGGAACTGAAAAAATAGGGGTTCTAATCTCAGCTCTCTTCCTTTTTAACTGCAACATTAACCTCAGCTTTACCATGGGGATGATAAAATCTAACTTGTTAGATTGCTGTGAGGATTAAATGGAAAAAAGAAAAGTATGTACTAGATGTCAGTTGCCTTCCTTTTAACTTTTTCATTTGAAGATGATTATTCATACAGTTGTGACTAGAACTAAGCACTAAATATCCTTATAATGATCTTGGTATGATTAGTTATACTGCATATACTGCAGGTGAGCCAGTTCCTTCACTTGAATTAAACCTGCAAACCTTAGAATTTTTCAGAACATAGAATCATGCCAATCTTATTGACCTGACATATTTATGGAGCTTGTATCCATGGTCCAAATTATTCTGAAATTCATAGAAATATCTGGAAAGCTATTCCCATTTGAAAATGAATGTCAACCTCTTTTCATCTAAAGACAGGTAATTAACACAAGCCACAAACATACTGAATTCCTTCATTGATATGGTTTGGCTGTAGCCTCACCCAAATCTCATCTTGAATTGTAGTTCCCATAGTCCCCATGTGTCATGGGAGGGACCTCACAGGAGTTGATTAGATTATGGGGGCACTTCCCCCATGCTGTTCTCGTGATAGTAAGTGAGCTCTCATGAGATCTGATGATTTTATATGGGGCTTTTTCCCCCTTCCCTGGGCACTCATTCTCTCTCCTGCCACCCTGTGAAGAGGTGCCTTCCGCCATGATTGTAAGTTTCCTGAGGCCTCTCAGGCCATGCAGAACTGTGAGTCAATTAAACCTCTTTTCTTTATGAGTTTCCCAGTCTCAAGTATTTCTTCATAGAACTATGAAGAATCGCTATGAACTATGAGAATGAGGAATACACTCATGAAGATCCAACTCTCTCATTGGCTATCTGGAAACAAATTGAAAAGCAGACAGACATGGATCCAAGCTCAAAGAAAACAAACACATGTAGCCAGACTTGGAATCCTGAGAAACCAAGTGAAATAAGACCCTCACTCCATCTAGCAAATAATCCCATGTCTTCTCGCTCCCCTGCCTTTTTTTTT